TAGAAGAGTTTTTTCAAGATTTCACATCATTCAAAAGACCACTAAGATATAAATTCCTTGTAACAAGCAGATAAACACAGGGAAGAGTCATACAAAGGAGTTTGTAAATAATGCTCCTCAGGTAATCACATATATACTATATATATTGCACAAGGTTTACAAGTCGAATATGAACCGATGCAACAAAACCACCATTACCTTGCATATCCTTAAACACACCCTCAGACTGTAATGCACACCTCTGGGAATGCCTATACATTCAGAGGAGGAAATCAGTGGAATAATATAGATAAAACAAGGAAATCCCAAGCAAACAAGACCTCAAGCACCCCTCCCAGTTAAGTACTTTAGTAATTTAGGATATACCGTGGCTCCTTCCTGCCTACTCTCCTCGCATTCAGGGTAGCACGTCCTTGCTTCTGTTTCAGGAGGAGAACTGGATCATCTCACCCAGCTTCCCACATATTTTAACAGCTAGGACTCGGAGCAGCACCATTTGTGGGTTCAAACTTTGTCAAACTGGAGAAGAACTGAACTTCACATTTCTACTACTGTTGTCTAATGAGAGGGGGCTCATTAGACAACTAAGTTGTCTAATGAGAGGGGGCTAAATGTGTAATTTTAAGTGAATTCAAACACAGTAGCACCTGACTAGGACTAACTATTCAGGATTTTTGGTGCTGGCACCTTACCCCCACCCATCTCAGCAAAGTACAGTATTTGTAATCTTTTCAGTACCTTAATCTGTTCAGCAGTCTTTTATTTAGAGATTTTTTTGTCCCTGGATCAAAGCATGCTCAGATTTCCAGAGGCTTCAGAGGTAGCATTTAAAAGGAGATTGATAGTATTACTCTGAAAAATACGGCTAACTTGTTTGTAAGTAGAGTGGCTACAACCTAGCAACTTAAGCTGACAAAAAGTTTGAACCAATAGTGCTGTAGATATTCAGCAAATACCTTGAATTTTTATTATCTCTGAAAAACATTACTACATATCTATTTCACTTCTAGTGGTTTCTTAGATTTTCACCAGTATTTTTCCCAATACCTCTTAAGGTCTCAGAGTAGATTGTGTATTTATGTTCCCAAATTAATGAATAAAGGAAGAACAATCAACACTATCTAAAGAAAAAGCTATACCTTGCTGCTAACAGCCCAATGTGTCTGCTAATTCCTTCCACTTCTTTAGATAATGATGATACATAATTCTTTAGCTCTGAGGAGTTTCTTTCTACTTATTGACCTTGAGCATCTATGGCAAAACCATTATCTGACTGGCCAACTATCAGCTTTATAATGCGGGAAGGTTAAGGCTAAATTAAGATACAAAGGTATGCTTGCTGTATGCCTCAACTATTGAACATGAATTCTAGGAATGCATCAGGCTTTCAGATATAAAAAACTGACAGACAACATATTTACTAAGTGATTACAAAAAAGTGCTGGAAAGTATGACTCACTGCATATTCTATAACTTCCTTTCAACCTCTGGAATTTTACGAAGATGCTGTATTATAAATTTCTGAAAATGTAGATACTTTTTAAAGAAAAGCAAAATAAAAGAAAAGCTGTGAAGAGGGCAGGACAGCACTCAGTGCAGTAATGCAATTACAGCATACAGAGATATGCAGATAGGAATAACAATGGAAGAAATAAGAAATAACATAAATCCCAAGTTCTATGTTTTACTTTAATACTTCCAAATACAGAGGTTTATTATGCTGCAAAGCCACTAAAGTATCAATTTGCATAAGGGTGAGGTAATGGAGATGCCCTAGTTATAGGGGCCGGGATCAGTTTATCACTATGTGAGTATAACTAAAATCGTGTATTCTACACCCTCTATGTCATTTCTGATGGACTGTTAATAAATTGGATCATTTGCAGCAGCTGACCAGGGCACACCTAACACCTCAGGCTACAAGCTGGGTGTTAAAGAAACGCTTTGAGGCAGGGGAGTGTTTCTTGTCTTCACACCAATGACTCAGCTGTGATAACTCCCCTCTGGGGAGGCATGAGCACGTTCACACTCAGCCCGGGGGGTCGTCTCTGCTAATGGGCCATACTGGACTGGTGTAATACACAGCTACAACAACCTAGACCATCAAAGATTCCAAAACTATCCCATGACTCACAGAGCTAAATCACCCGTTGTGAAACTCTCTGTCCTGTAGGGAGGTACTGGGCATTCCCACCTGAACCTAAGCATATATTGGGACTTCTGGTACCACTCATAAGATCCTGAGGAGAACCAGAACTTTAACAGGACTGCGACTGCCACTCTCGACAAGACTGTGATCATTACTTCCACAGAACTGCGACCATCATCCGGACCAACAGGTTTCCTTTCCTGTTACTTTGCACCCAGGGGGTCACGTGGTGCTCAGCACAGGGTTTGATGAACACCATTCTGTTCTTGTCCAAGGGTGCAGGGTTACACATCTGTCTTTGGGGGTCAAAACCAGTTTTTTCTCTGTCCTGTATCACTGTATTTATTGTAATCCTTTTAATAAATAGTAACTCTGACTTGTAATCTCTCTTGAGGTGGATTCGTTTCTCCCATCGGTTTACTTTTAAACCAGCACAGGAGTCTAACAGGAAATACAGAGAATACCAAGAAAACTCTTGTAGTATTTACTTATTAGGATTGCAGACATAACTGAAAGATAAAGCATAAAGATAAGTGAAATGTTTACAAAAGCCAATAAAGCACCACAGCTGAATAATCAAATGTTTCAGTGTATTTAAAAACTAGCAAGCTGTAGGGGAACACAAGAGGATCTCTTCCCAATCTCCTAGGAAATACCATTATATTGTTTATAGAAGTTGCAAAATAAGAAAATGGACTCAGTGATACACTAAGCATTTGTGTATATGCACATACACAGAGCACCAGATACAGTGTTCAAGAATAGACTGTAAACCTGAGGTTTTGCTGATAAATCCTTGCAAAAATTACCCAGTTATGTGAAGCAATCAATCTAAATTTATATTATTGACCAGATATGTCTGTCTAGCTGTCAGTATCAATTGCAGAGAGCATCCAAGAAATCTCAGTCATATTTTTGACTTCTCTGGGAACTTGACGGCACTAAAAACCGGACTCTGAAATTCAGACTTTCTAGAGATATATATAGCTGTGTTGCACCTTGGATTCTTCAGCAATTGCTGCCACATCTGATGGTGATTCCTAATGCCAAGATATTCCTCTCAAATTCCCTGATCTGCACCAGTAGACTGTAACACAGTACACTGTATGGACACAGCGTTTGCATTATACAACAGGACTAATGATTTAGAATCACTATTATGACTCATTAATAATACACACATGCATTAATACAAAGATCAGTACTGTCATGAACAACTTGGGCAACATGTTTAACCAGAGCTGCAGTATAAACAAGTCTGGAAAGGCCATGAACCACATTTGAAAAACCCATAAATACCTTTTGAATGCTCAAGAGTAATTTTAAATGTTTTACTGAATGAACCTTTGGTTTTGCATTACAAAAGAGATTAACGTAATAGGGAGCTCTCTTACAACAATCGGGAATTCTGAAACTACAGTTTCAGACATACTTCTAGACAATTATTACTCTGAGAGATACAGCAGCTTTGTCTGTTATTTACACTGCCACTAAGCCACAGAAAATGAAACAAGGACAGAAGATGACACTCACAGTTCTTTAAGCATATCTCTTTAACAATAATAGGGTACAGAATTAGGTTGCTGATACTTCAATTGCATCTTAAACCATGACTTGCTGACATGTCCCTTGGTCCTGAGGAAAGCACAGACAGGTTTGAGAGAGGAACTGCTAGACAGTTCTGAAATCATGAAGCATGTGTAGAAGCCCCTGATAAGAATCGAGACAAGTCATAGGTGTGTGGATAAACTAGGAAGTGAGAAATAGCAAAAGGTCACAAAAGCATTTACACAGAACTGGCTGCAAGCCACAGAAGTTCTGAGGAGAGGTGATATCAACAGAAGTCCTGGTCAGATTTATAAGGAAAAAGGCAACAGTACCTTACGCAGACAGTCAAAAGGAGAACTGAAATGTCAAGGAACAGGAAGGAAAACCACTGCAATCTCTATTTTCAAACTAATTATTCTTTAAAAAATCCTATTTTTTTTGTATGTTGACATAATAACAATTTATGACACAGGCCAGTAATTTATAAGTTAATAATGAGATACTTCAAAACAACTGTCTAAATAAGCATGTAGGATATTTGTAATACTATGGATTACAACCTTACTGATAGTTGATAAAGACTGGAAAGTTGGAAGACCGGAAGTTAATGGAAGCTGTCCCTGAGATATTTCACTGTAAACCAATAAATGAGACTTTCACTAAGAAAATAAATTTTAAAAAAACCCAAAAAACTAAAAAAGTACAGAACCCAAGTGTATTTTAAGATGTTCTCAACACGAAAAATAAACAGAAAGAATAATTTCTTTCTTAAACAAGAGAACATTTACCAAACATGCTTCTTCCCTGTTCACTTGTTTAGTTATCCATCAGCCAGCTTCAGATGACTGGTTATTATCCAGGCAAAACAGGAGATTCCCTGTTATGATGTATTTCACAGAACACATTCCATACAATATGCATAGAGTTATCTGTAGGATGGAATAAATCTATGCAAGCTAATAGTAAAATCCTGTTTACCCTTCTTGGAATATTGCATAAAAACAGAAGACACAAACATACTATAAAGCATGCAACAGGGAGAAATTATCTACACAGAGTGTAGAAAAAAAACTATAATAAGATCAACTATACAGGTCTATCCTCCCTTCCAAACCAAATCCTTAATCACTATTTAACAAGCGTTTAATAAAGAGAGTTGCATTAAATGGGCAGGAGGGAAGACTACTGTAAACAAAAAATAGACTAAACTTCAAATCCATCCCCTCTTGAAATGAATGGGATGAGAATCTAGAAAAATTAAGTATGAGAGAAAGCGCAGAAAGCAAACATGACATTCACTCACATAAAATTTTCTGGATATTCACTCAAGGCCATATCAATGATATTCAAAGCATCATGATAATGTTTCTGGGCTGATAGTAAGAGTGCAAGGAGATGAAGAGAGTTGGCATCATCTCCTTGTAGTTGCAGAGCCTGACGAACATAACCCAAAGCTTCTGGTATCTGATTTGAAAAAAAAAAAAAGAAAGTGCCACTATTAGAAGTATTGCCTGTTACTTGACTGCATATCCATAAAATTTTCAAAATACACATAACGTAGAATTCTATATACTCCTGTAAGACACTACTGAGAAGTTTAAAATGGACCTGATGCTCTACAGTAAAAATTAAGTAAGATATATAAAACAGTTCCCTTCAACCCCTTAAAATATTCACTTACTATTCTCTTTCAAGTATTGGTTGTACTTCTAAATGATCTTGAAAATACTTTAATTGTAATGTATTAGCTAAAATGTATAGTTAGACAGGAACGGTAACTTTTCTTTACGTAGAATTTCATTATCTCCTCAGCAGCATGTGCTTTTGTTCAAAATAAGTACATTAGGTGCTAAAAATGGAAAATTTAGTTAAGCAGCATGAAAATTTTGGAATTCAGAAATACGGAGTCATAGCCTGCTACTGAAAAATGTTTTGTGCTAATTAAGTGACAGTCCATCCCACACTAATGTGACATAGACCAAGGTTTGCGCTCCTCTGTTAATAGCAATGACAAGTAGTCACCTAGATTGTGTTCAAAAAAAACCAACTGTGCTCAAAATTAAAATAAAAGACAACATAGGAAAAGGCTTATCATGATAGATACAAAGCAGTTCCACAATATACAAATCCATGTGATATATGGTAGAATGCCTCAAACATAACAGTTGCACAAATTGGACTAAACTCTTTTATAGAGTTTAAATATTTTCCAGTTTTCTTAAACACTTTTTTTGTAATTTTGTTCACAATAATCTAATCTCCTAAAGGTACTCAGAAAGTCCACGGATCTTAGCAGATACTCAAGATTTAAGCACTATCAACATCATTAAAGACTAGATTCAGGAGTCCCACTCTCCAGGATCTGAGCAGAGATTACACATAATAGGTAGAAACATGGTTAAAAACTGACCTTTTTTTTCTCTCCATCTAGCAACATAAATGCTGAAGTAAGTGGATTTACTTATGTCTTATTTCTGATCCTAGAACTGGAAATACAGGCAGAACTCCAGAGAAATCTATAGATAAGACTGAAGGTGTTTGGAGAGAGCTTTTCAGGGTTTTCCTCTCATATATACATATAGGTACAAGGAAAATCAGGTTTTTATTGAAGAAATTTTTACCTGTATCCATCAACAGATAGAAATTCTAATCCTCATATGACAGCACGATGCTGCACTTCTAAAACAAAACTAACCTGTCTGGATATGGCAAGCTGGAGTGCCAAGTAAAACGCTGCCAGATGATCCGTTGGAGACAAACTGTGAGCCCTTACAAATAAAGAAACAAAACAAACAACAGTGAGTTTTGCCCCTGTTCAGACAGGTTAGACATACCTACAAATGCATATATATTCATTTATTCATATTCAGAACTCTTAACTACCCGTATGCTCATATTTTGATAAAAGCGGTGTTCATTCAGCAACTTTTCACATACTTCTTAATCATCCATGATTTAAAGGAAGCACTTTGGGACGTTAAAAGTAATTTTTAATAGAAATTAATTGTGTAATTTAAGTATAAATCTATAAAATGAGCAATACAAAATGATTCTTCAAATATATTGTACTCCAAAGCAAACACTAGATGTAATTACTTAAGAATAATATATAGTTATAATAAAAATTAATTAAATGAAGTTTTCTAACAGAAAAAGGAAGAAAAAATCCAAATACAAATCCCCCAAAACAACATGCCTTCAAAGAGAAGAATTACATCATCTGCACAAGAAGTACCCAAGCAATCACACTGAATGTGGTCGGATGGTTCTGAAACACAGAACTCAAAGAGGAAGAGTAGTAGCACAGTAGGTCAGAGTTTTGTCCATTCCCAGACTCACAAAGTTCAAACATATTTTCAGTCCAGCACAGTAAGCCTCCTAGGAAGCCAGTTAATTCTTGGCTTTAAGTTGCTTTAAGACTAAGTTAGTAGAACATTTTGTTATCATAGAATCATTAAAGTTGGAAAACACCTCTAAGATCATCAAGTCCAACCATCAACCAGCACAATCATCGTGTTCATCACTAAACCATATCTTCAAGTGCCATATCCATATGTATTTTGAACACTTCCAGGGATGATAACTCCAAAACTTCCCTGGTCATCCTGTTCCAATGCTTGACAACTCCTTCTGTGAAGAAATTTTCCCTAATATCTAATCTAAATCTCCCCTGGTGCAACTTGAGGCCATTTTCTCTCATTCTGTCACTTGTTAATTGGGAGAAAAAAACGACCTCCACTTGTCTACAATCTCCTTCCAGGTCATTGTAGAGAGCAATAAGGTCCCCCATGAGCCTCCTCTTCTCCAGATTAAACAACCCCAGCTCCCTCAGCCACTTCTCACCTGAATGTCCTTCTTGTCCTGAGGGGCCCACACATGAACACAGAATTCAAGGTGTGGCCTCATCAGCGCCAAATACAGAGGGACAATCACTGCCCAGTCCTGCTGGCCACACTGTTCCTGATACCAGCCAGGATGCCATTGGCCTTCTTGGCCATCTGGGCACACTGCTGGCTCACGTTCAGCCAGCTGTTGAGCAGCACCCCCAGGTCCTTTTCCACTGAGCAGTTTTCCAGCCACTTTCCCCCAGTCTGTAGCACTGCAGGGGGTTGTTGTGACCCAAGTGCAGGACCCAGCACTTGGCCTTGTTGAATCCCATACCATCAGCATGGGCCCATCAATCCAGCCTGTCCAGATCCCTCTCCAGAGTCTTCCTACCCTCCAGCAGATCAATATTCCCACCCAATTTGGTGTCATCTGTGAAAGACTGAGGGTGCACTTGATCTTCTCATCTGGATCATTGATAAAGATGTTAAACAGGGTTGACCTCAATACTGAGGGGGAAGACCACTTGTGACCAGCTTCAGCTGGATTTACTTGCTGTGTTGCAATGTAAAAGAAATCTTCTTTATCACAGCATTACAGTAAAAGGCTGCATAAGATCTGATTCATCATGAACCTATGTTTGAAGTTCAGATGAAGAAGTTTATGCTGATGATCTTTTTACAAGTAGAACTTTCATTGACAAAAGCATTGAGATGCCCAACCGCAGAAGTGGTTTTTTGATTACTCAATCTCAAAATATTTCTAACTACTGCTGTTGCAAGTAATCCCAGTTATTGAAACAAAAAATAACTTTTCCCCATCTTTTTAAAAATTTTGTTTGTTTTCTTGTTTTTAATGTTTTGGTCAAATGCACACTCTGAGTCTTATTTATTTTATTATCCTACAGAAGTTGTTCTTGTAATACACTCTACTATTTTCTCCTGTAATACAATCTTTCTGCTTTTTAGCAGGGCAATGTTTGAGTATAAGAACAAATAAAATTATGGCTGTACCCCAAAATGATGTGTAGTAAGTACTGGGCAGCTAGCCTGGAACTATTTTTTTATTTACATTTGTTTCAATCTTCCAGAATGCTCATTTAGAAACAGGATGTGTAATAATCATCTTTGGAACATCTAATGAGTCGTCTCCATTGGGATGAAGTAACAAAATTGACCTTCAAATCATTACAATCACAAAGAGATCCTTCTGCTTCTGACCTGTGCATTTCTGTCTTCCCGAATTCAAAGAGCTTCTTCAGTTTAGCAACTACACCCAGCACGCTTCAAAGTAGTTTTACGTTATTAAGGGACAGTTTTATATTTGGTAATTTCACCTCTAAATTGGAGATTAGAGGCACAGGTAAAGCCTGTCCAGGATCAGCCCTTTTTAAAATTTAAGTTTACAAATGAAGTAATACTGAGAGAGAACAAGCGATTTTAACTTAAAGGGTACTTGTTCAGTCACCCAAGCTCCAGATAGTGAAAGAATAAAGCTGTTACTATCTATCCACCATTTGGTGAATTCTGTGAAACTTCAATTCACACCAACCACAGGAAAAGCACTGAAAGTCTTCCAAATTTAAAAAAAAAGTCAGTCAAACACCCACTCAGTACTGTGTGAAGACAGTAACAAGCACCTTCTTGACTGACCACTATCACAAACTGGTAAGCCTTGAAATTTGGCTCAGACAAGGGTCCAAAACATAATCATATTTCTTCAGGGCAAATATGTCTTCAGGAATTGGTCCTCAAGGTAAGTGATTAAAAAAATCCACAAAAAAAAAAAAATAAAACAAATGGCACATCAAAATACTCAGTCCAGTATAGGCTGCTCGCTTTATGCAGGAGATGAATGGAGAATTTGAACTTCCATCTCCTAGAAGACATTTATTTTTCAGATGTGGGAAGAAAAAGTGGGCATGACTCTGGTATGTTGAACATAACATACTTATGTTATCAAAGCAAGGAACCAGAAATATTATCAATTATATTGGAGTGTATTTCCAGTACAGCTGATCTATCAGATATAAGTCTCTCTATGAACACAAGTGGGGAAATATGTTAATATGGAGAACAAACTCCTTTAAAACATACTTTTTCCCATTTTCTTAGAAGGTAGCTACGGGGTTTTTGAGATGCCAAAAGTCTGTTATTTTGGAGGATGAAACCATTCTACTCAAGATTCTGTACAGAGTCCAAGCCATTCAATAGAAATTTCAAAACATATACCCTGCACATGGGTAAAACCTCTGAAAGATAATTTAATTAGAAGTCTATGTACAAGTTCATTATGAGAAAGGACAGCTGAAAGGATGACTACATAAATGAAAGGATGACTAAGCATAACTTAACATCGATACCCTGGAACATGCAGTTAAAAATACAAAACATTGTTTCTAGGATATTGTATCAATTGAAAGCAGATGCCACTAATCCTCATGTTTCTAAGATCTTCTGTGTATAAATTTATATTCTGATAGTTTTGAAACAGTGATGATTAAGTCAGCAGTGGTAAGAGGGATGGGTGAGGAACTGAGGTATAAACCAGGAGGTAGAAAGTTCAGTTTCAACATGGAGAAAGAATGCTCAAGTACTAAAAAAACTAATTAGAGCCACTAAGGAACAAGAAGAGCAAAGACATGTTAAAACATATTTACATACAGAAGAATAGCTAAGAAAGAAGGACCAATATATACCAACCTTGCTCTAAATTTACCTGCAAAATACTTTTTCAATCCTATTCTTTCAGATACAAAATCACCACTAAAAAACCAGGACGTCATTTCACATTAATGCACAAATCTGTTTCCCTCCATTTAGGCTTATCTCACCAAAGGAGGGTTTTCAAGGGTATATAAACATAAAAGAGACATATTTAGATGCTGCAGCACTTATGTCAGCTTTCCCATCAAGATTTGTTTCTTCTATAATTAGGGTAGAGAGTTCTCATTCACCTGCTCATCCTCATTTCGTTTGCAGAGTCAAATCCTTGAGAATGAACTACTGTCATCCCCAAGGGCACTACTTCCATGTAAGATACTTGGAAGACAGGGCATTTGCGCTGTCACTGCCTACACTGTTACGTGTCCAGATAGAATTTTTAATTTATCCCTAGTTTACTACCTTACTACCTGCAATTTTCCCCTCACCCACAGCAGCAGGGCCTCAATTATTGCTCTGCCACTATGGAGGTAAGTGCAAAAGCCTGCTATACAACCTGATCAGCAGCTGGCTCTTAGAAACACTATAACATTGAACCATGACTTGAAACCTTACATCACATGATTTTTCCTTCTAGATCAGAACAGAATATCTGAGCAAATATTTTATACTAGAGAGCAACACAAGTGTCTTTAAAATTAAATAAAAGGAAATCCGTAGAAATCAATTTAGGTAATTCTGACAGAAGATGATGGAAATAAATGCTAAAGAAATACATTCTGTACTGAGGAAGGGAGACTCCCAGAGGTGAAGTTGTCATTACATGATCTTCTACAAGTCTCTCTTTTTAACACAAAACAAAAGCTTTTCACTACATATAGCAGAACAAAATGAAAAGATCAACACCCACTCACCTCTGAAATGCAAGAAGAGCCTTTCTCTGCAAGACCTCTTGCATCCCTCGCAAAGATGCTAAAAAGGATATATTGAATCAGTGATATGAATGATGAAGATAATTCATTCCACATGCTAACTGAAGAAGCTTTAACACATTGACTGAAAAAATGGTTGCACATAGAAGCTTCAATTTTATGTCTAGCATTCTGCTAGGTAACCTTTTTTAGAGAACCTGGGAATTTCCAGTTGTGAATGTTTATTCTTATCTTACCATCAGTGGCCTGCAGACTGTAAGTCAATCCCAGTGCCAAGTAGCCTTTTGCTTTGAACTCTGATGTTTTGTCCCCAAGATCAACAACTGCCTTGGCAAATCTTTCAGCTTCTTCCAACTGAAAACATTATAAAACATCCATGTAAGTCTAAAACTAGCTAAATATTTCATTAGAATGTAAAGAATGCACAAAATGTATTTTATGCACACTGAGCCTGTTAAAATCTCAGCCATGATTGCCTTCAAGGACCATTTCATTTCTCATTAGACTTAGTTGTCCTACTAAATACTGAGTAAAGAAAACAGATTTTAAGCTGAAACACTCATTCTTATGGTAGAGAGAAACTCTGTCGCATAACACACTGTAGTTTTACCTTTTTTCTTTTTTTTTCTTTTTTTTTTTAGTTAAAAAAAAGTATTTCTGGTCCATATATGCCATCTACCATTTTTGCATTTTTATAAATAAGAGTTTATGGCCCATGAACAATTTCTTTAGGAAAATCAATCACAAGAATTATGTCTCCTGTAAAAAACAGCATATCCATGCAGAACTCTGTTTTGAATACTGTATTGCTGAATGCATGCAAACTCATAAACAGAGAAACGTAAAAAAATTAAGGTTTAATAGCACATCCATCTTAGCACACTATTTAACAATCTAGAAAGAAAAAAATACCATCTGAATCCATTCCAGTAAATGTAAATGCTAAGTACAGTAAACTACTCCATATGGACTCAATCCATAGGGAACAATTTACAGAACTAGGATCCACTCTAATTAAGACTGTATTTTTGTCAGCCTCAACAAGTCATGTTTCTGCTACTACTCTATTTTCTCAGTTTCTGATTGTGACCTTTCCCTCCTTTTTTCCTCCTTTTTTAAATATTTTAAATATATTCTCCTAAAAATTACACATATATCTTGAAAACCACATGATGATGTTCAATCACCTTAATGTTTTTGTACGGAAACACTAATTTCAAAGTTATCTAAAATACAACTCCAGTCACATTTTTTTTAAAGACACTGTCCCTACTATGAATTCATAAACATCAGCTACCTGCAAACATGGTACCAACAGAAGAGTCTCCTGATTATGAGAT